TTTTGCCTTACAATGTGGTTGATTGAATTTAGTGCTCTGGAATGGGGTGATGGGTTCTACAATGGAGATATCAAAACAAGAAAAACGGTTCAGGCCATGGAGTCAAATGCTGATGACCTGGGACTAGAAAGAAGTGATCAATTGAGGGAGCTTTTCGAGTCTCTCTCTCAAGGTGAAATGAGCCCTCGACCTAAAAGGCCCACTGCTGCATTATCCCCCGAGGATTTAACTGATGCTGAGTGGTATTTCTTGATTTGCATGTCGTTCGTGTTCAACATTGGCCAAGGGTAATACTAATTCCAACTCCCGAACAATATTGCTCGGGATATTTGATTTTGAGTTTCCACTACTAATTATGGTCAAGATTCGTGTAGCATTTTATGTTTGAAGTCCTTTCCTATGAAAAGGAAAATGTGTCAGGGACTTCAATTTGCTGATTTTCATGTTGTTTGCTTGCACATAGGCGTGATTTTGGTTTATCATTGTACTTGCTCGACCGAAAAATACAAATTTTAAACCAGTTGCAAGCTTGAATTGCAGTGATATAATTGGTACTCATGCTAATTATGTCGATTTTGGTTAAATTGTTGCAAGGTTGCCTGGGAGGTCATTAGCTCAAAATGAAACTGTGTGGTTATGCAATGCTCATTGTGCGGAGACTAAAGTTTTCTCCCGTTCCCTGCTTGCAAAGGCAAGTGCACGAGTTTATGACTATTTTGGAATAGAAAGAAAAATTTAAATTTTCCCTACTTAAATCTCAGTCAAAAGCATTGTATGGCCAAATGCCCTGGTTATACAATTGCTTGGCAAATTTACTGACTTCTTCTGTTTTCAATTCTGTGCCGGTGGGTAACTTTCATTTGCTTTATCCAGAGTGCATCAATCCAGGTACTAATAATTTTACATGACACATAACACTATTATAGTTCATTAATGGTGCATTTAATGAGTGTCGTTTTCAACTTGCAGACGGTAGTGTGCTTTCCATATTTAGGAGGTGTAATGGAGCTTGGAACTACTGAGCTGGTATCTGATGTTACATTTTACGGAAAATATATTTTTNTAATGATTAATTTTTTCGACATGTGTTTTTTGTAAAGGTTCCTGAGGATCCAATTCTGATTCAGCATGTAAAAACATTTTTCCTGGGGAGTCCTTCCACAATTTTCTCCAACATTCCCAATCATGGAGATCCTTCTTCGCCTAACGAACTCGGAAAAAATCTCGATCAGCAGCTATCAGACTATCAAGATACTACTAACATTTGTTGTCCCGAGATCAATTCAGATGATTTTCCAGAAAACTTTCTGAAAGAGGAATCAAATTTAGCAAATGACATTTATAAAGACAACTATTCTTTGAGCTCGAGCGATTGCATATCTCAAACTCTTGGTAATCCTGAGACAAATATCCCATCTTCGGACAAAAGTAAGGCCAACGATGATTTTGTTTGCAAAAATCAAGAATGTCATGAGCAGACACACGAATCTTCCGGTTTCGAAGGCAATGCCGATTGTACTCGTTATCAAAATTTGCTTTCCAATCTTCTAAGGGGCTCCCACGAGTTGATTTTGGGGCCGTACTTCAGTAATGGAAGTAGAAAATCTAACTTTGTTAGTTGGAAGGGCTCGAAACCGTGCAGCAATTCCCTTCGAACCAGGACACCACCACAAAGATTACTTAAGAAAGTCTTGTTTGAAGTTCCAAGAATGCATGAAAAGAATAATCAGACCAAATCTAGAAATAAACAACAAAGTGACAAAATTGATGGCTGTAAACGAGACGGTGAAGAAGGTGGTGATAGAAACCATGTCTTGTCCGAGAGGAGGCGCAGAGAGAAAATTAATGAGAGACTTATGATTCTTGGATCACTTATCCCATCTGGTGGCAAGGTACCTTAATTAATCACTTGGGATTAATTAAAAAATGGAGAAAAAAAAAAGTGTTCTTGACAAAATTCAGCTATTTTTCCTAAATTAGAAAAGTCACATCTAATAAAAACTTTAAGAGGTGTCTAATATAGTTCGAAAGCTTATTCTTGGCTTCTCTTATTGCAGGTTGATAAAGTATCTATCCTTGATCATACAATCGAGTACTTAAAACAGCTGGAGAGAAAAGTGGAAGAGTTAGAATCTTACAAAAGAGTAATGAAGCTAGAAACAACAAGAACACAAACGGGACCTCATGAAGCTATTGAGAGGACATCAGGTAATTACAGTCCTAGAGAAACTGGCATTTTGAAGAGAAAAGCTTGTGATACGGATAAAACAATAGCTGATCACAAAAGGGGCCGACCAAGAGATTCTTCAAAAGGCAGTATAATTCTTAATGTCACAGAAAAGGATGTGTCGATTGATATCAAGTGTGGTTGGAAGGAGTTTGTGTTGGCTGAAGTTATGGAAGCTATAACCAAACTTCATTTGGATTCACAAACCGTTCAGTCTTCCATTGCCGATGGAATTCTCTCCATGACTATAAAAGCTAAGGTTTGCTTACAAAAATAAAGTACAATTTTTGTGTCTACTATTTTATTTTAAACTGCATTATTTGTAAGTTACTTTTATCATGAAAAATTTCCATTGGAAGTAATTATGATTTTGATACTGGCTTTATGACAATTTGCAGTGCAAGGAAGTGAAAGGTCCATCGGCAAGTGTGATCAGACAAGCACTTCAGAAAATTATCAGAAAATCTTGAAGACGAAAGCTCCAGATTTTTTTTTTTTTTTAGTTGTGTTAGTTTTGTAAAGTTTTAGTAAGTCGAACAAGTAATGTTCATGCATCGCAGTCCAGCAAACATTGTTCGATGAATTTTTTGTATGTTAATTTAGTCATGTTATTTAGTTTTTTCTGTTACTCACTGTGTTACCCTTTTTTTCTATTTGAATGTGTTTCTTAATAAGTGTCAATCTCACTAATTTCAAAATATACTTGTACAAAATAGTTACTAATTAATACATCTATTCCATATTTTCTTATTTTTCTAAAAAACACTCTTAGCATCAATCAGCCAAGAATTCTCCCTACTGCTTTCTATCAAGAATTACAGATCAGAGCATCGAAATACGAACAAAAGCTTCATGATTCACGAACGAGACCCGAGTATGATATCCAACACACATTCTTCGAGAATATCTTCCGAAATGTGAATCATAATATATTCAGTTTCAGTTCGGGCATCAATCCAGGATCTTGAATCCGAGACATCATTCGCGAGAAGCTGGTCCACTGTTCTTCCCTCAGTCGAAGTAAGTAAACTGTAATCTGCAGTCTTTCTCATTATCTCGTCAAGTACGAATTTTTCCAGTGGCAAAATACACTTTTTTGGTTTAAAAAACTCTGGCCAGGGGAAAAACGAGAAATGGGACCTGTGTATTTCCAGTAAAACTTCATTCACATGATCAAAAAGAAGCCTATGATTGATATGATGATGATCAGAAGTCAAAAACTCTATTTCATCAAATAAGGATGAATGGAGAAGCTTTTGAGGCCGTGGACCGATTTCTGATAGCTGCTCCCAGTTTAAAAAAGAACTTTGAAGCACCAATTGCACGTATTTGGATATGTAATCTTTCTTATCAATGTAGGCATTTTCGGTCATTGGTTGATCTTGGGGATATGACTCGATTGAGAATCGTTCGAAATGAAGACATCTAGGATGTGATCTCTTTCTGCCTGAAAATTAATTCAAAAAATGTGAACTCGTGAAGAACTATCTCGCACAAAAAGGGAAAGGTATGCATTTTATTTATTTATTTTTTTGCAAGCTTACCGGTTTGGAGCGTGATATTTGATGGACTATTATTATTAGCATCTTCTGCGAAGAACAATTGCTCGAGAACAGAAACCGGGCTTTCTTGCTCATCGTGATTTTTGATGTTTTCGGATGTGTTTAAGCTGTGGGCACTTCTTGGAGTGGATGGAAGATCGTCTGTTGTGCTCGTAAATGTGTCATTTTCCGAAAGTAAGTCCTGAAATTATGAAAATGTGTTGTCATTAATACAAATCGATGAACATAAATATTACAAAATGGTATCTAAAAAGCATCTAGAAGTACATACCGATGTAGAATCTGTTATTACAGTACCATCTGAATGGCAAATGTTTTTTGTTTCTACTATATGTGTTTCACTTTCTCCTGCAGTAAAAATAAAAAATACAAAAATAAAAAATGCTAGCCAGANAAAAAAAAAAAAAAAAGGTGTGAATGTGATTACATGTATTATCAAAAATCTCCTTACCATTAAACCCCATATATCCAATTTCTGAATTGCTGCTTTCATGTAAGGAATCTTCTTCATCAGTGCTTCTTGTCAGAGAGGAATCTTCATCAGATTTCTTACATTCATCTTCGCGTGATGTAATAATAACCTCTTCACCAGTTTTTCTCACTGGACTTAAGCAAATCTTTCTTTCTTCAGGTTGGTGAAAGCTATCTTGAACCTTTAATTTCGTACGTGGAGAACAAGAACACTGGTTATCCCTTCTCAGGAAGAACTCATGTTCGGTTAAGCTCTTTAGTCTTGCTGACAGGCGTCGTTTTTTTATCTCAACAGCTAAATCAAACTCCTCTCTTTTCGAAAATCTTGAAATCGAAAAATCGATTTTGGTCCGCATGGCCTCCGGCGGCTCCTTGAGCTCGATTTTCTTAACTCGACAGACATTTTCAAAATCTGATCTTTTTTGAGGAGCTTCTTTTCTCAAATGCTTCAATTTGTGCTTCATTTCCCGAACAGAGAAAATCGCGGTTTTCTCGTTTTTCTCATTAGATTTCTTATGAGAATCCGGTTCTTGCAAATGATCCACTAATGAATCCTTCCTATTATTCACTCTCAATACTTGCAATGCATCTGAGAAGGGCAATGGCTCGGTGCTCGTTTTTTTTTCACGTACGAATTTGCCATCAACAAACATTTGGTCGATAAAAGCCTTTATTGTCATTCGAGCCTGCTGCATGATTTTCTCGTCGGAATCTGGTGAGTTTGAAGGCTGATGATGATTGTCGATCGAGCTTTTGTCATTGGAAGTTGACTGATTTGACCGATATGCACTCAAATGGCTCGTCTTTCTAGCTTGCTTGTGAGGTTTTAACGAGCGATCTGTAAGTTTGGAAGCTGCTTTGGGCAGTTTACAATATTTAATGGGAAACTTCTTGTTTTTTTGGCTGTCAATATACAAATCATCCTGAATGAGGCTCCTCACACTTTTTTCACTGGCACTGTTAGCTGCTTCTTTGGTCTGTGACAAAACAGATTGATATGCATTATTAGTTTTCTATCTTTATTTTTATTTTTTTCTTCAAGTTTTTTGCACATAAATGGTTATAGGACACAAAATTATAACAAAACTGTAGAAATATATCTAAATTTACACTTATTGCTGTAGTTTAATAAAAAATAAGACACCACAAAAATATATACTGCAGAATAAGAATAAAAAGAAAATGCATAAAAATGCTTACTTTAGCTTTTTGACATTCTTCAACAAATGCAGGTTGATTATCTACCTTTCTTGACTTACCTGCTGCAATAAACACAAAATAGCAATGTCCAAACACCAAATAATCAGAAACAAAGAAGAAAGAGAAGAAGAAGCAAAACATGAAAAGAGAAGAAGTTAAAATACCGGTAATGTTCGATTTCACTTCCCATCTGCTCGAAATCAGCTTAAAAGGACTCGGGTAGCCTTGGCTGGAGTTAAGGATGCTAAAAATGCCGGCCCACATGCATCTCAATTCACTCTTCTCACACAGTTCTTGATCCATTTTTGCTCGTCAAAACTCTCTGTAACCTTTCGAATAGAGGAAAATGAAGAGTTAA